AGCGGGTGACAAGTGACAGAGATAAAACTGCTAACCTCAGCCCTCAAAGAGCTTATCATCAGTTCACCAACTGACCTCGCCCTGTCCTTCCAAATTACCCTCCTGGAACCCAGCCCTGGCCTCCATCACAGGATCTCGGGACGTTCCCTCATCTACATGTAGCACAACCAGATTTCTCAGGGACGGCCCTGAATGGAAGCGCTCTTATCCTCCTTCATCAAAAATACAAGCATGTAAACCACAAAAGGGGTTGTAAATTAAAAATTCAACAGAAAAAGCTTTTATTTATTCTTTCATTCAATCAATGCATTTTAATTGAATGCTTACTGTGTACCCGGAGCCTTGTGAGGCGCTGGGGACTCCCTCCAGGGAACGAGACAGAACAGTCTCTCCCCTTAGGGACCTTAGAGAGGACAGGGTCCCTAAAGGAAGAGGCTCCATGCTGCAATTTTTAAAAATCTACCCCTGTTGGCTCCATGATTTCAAAACATCAAGAGCACCTCCAAGGCAGGATTTGCGGGGCATGAACGTCACAGTAACTCAAAGCCGCTGAGCAACCAGATTCAGGTGAGAACAGTTCAGGAGGGCAGACTGGAGGAACTGTCTTCAGGCTTTCCAACTGAATATGCCTGGAATGGAAGGTCACGCTTTCTCTGATAAAAGTGAAAAACTAAGCATGCAAAAACAAATAAAAGCCTAACAAATAATAATAATAAAAATTAAAAGATTAAAAAATAAAAGTCAGCGGCCCCCAGGCCCGTTTCCCAGCCCTGGAGAAAGTGACACCTCTGGGGCCTCTGCTGCCTCAGTCATCACCACGGAGAGGCTGAAGTCTTCGTCAAGAAGACCTCGTGAAGTTTTCAGGCACATACACAAGCTGCCTTCTGCCACAAACAAGTGAAGAACGTCAAAGCCAGAAACAAAAGCCTGGCGACAGGACACTGGGCGCCTTCGGAAAGGGGCCGTCAGAGCAAGCTCAGTCCGACTCTCGGCGTACCTGAGCGCAACAAGCGATACAGAGCCCACACCCGCCGTCTCACAGCAAGGACAGCGCTGATGCCAATTATTTTTTGCCCTCGCCAAGAGAGCTTGTCATCCCTCCACAGGACAATTATCTATAGGTGCACAATAGTTAAAAGCTAAATGCTTTCCCCAATTCAGCACAGGAAAAGTGCTGCTCACAGCAATGTGACATCATTTCATTAGATTAGATTAATTTTTAAATGTGTTAGCCTAACAATTTTGCCAACTACCATGTAATTAATATTCCAACTGACTTCACAAAAACTACAAAATCCCCTGAAGAAAATAATTAGTCATTAAGCGTGAACGAGACTTCTCTATGGCCAATAGCACATAAAACCAAAAGTTCATCACGTAACGGGTGGTATCAAAGCCTCTCCCACACTTCCTTCAACTCTTAGCCAACAGGGCAGAAAGCTGACCCTGGCAAGTTACCCCAAACTCCACTTAACATATTAACGCACTTACTCTTTTAAACTCTTCGAGGGTAAAATGATGAATGATGAAAGCTTTTGACAATTAAAAAGCTCTTTTCATTTGTAGGAGAGGCAAGATAAACATACATCACTGTTTGCTGCGTCCAAGTCCTCAGCTGGAAATTAGAATACTGGCTTGTTTCTTGGGGCCACTTCTTGAGTTTATTAAAGAAAAGTACGTAAGGCACCCTCTCCCTTTTTCCTGCCTTTCTTCCAAGGTTTGAAGTACAGCGTTCTTACAATTTGCCTTAACCTTTCTAAAGTAAGGTAAGGTGTAAATAAGCAATAGTCAAGTAGAACACTATCTGCCATCATAGAAATAAAAAAACACGTTTTCCCTGCAGCCCACCTTTGAGTAACTGGCCAGGGCTACTGAGCCCCAGAACAGAGTTGTGAACCCATTAGCAGCCTCAGCAGGAAAGAAGGCAGCGGGTGATTAGTGATGTCTGCCCTGGGCAAGAGAGACAGTCTGAGGATCCATGTACCATGTATCTGCCATCAACATCCTTCTGTAAACCACAAAAATCAGTAAAATGTGATACAGATTCACGAGTAAAATACATTAACTGCTTCTAGAATGAAGGTTAAAGGGGGGTAAATGTTTGCTATCGTCAAAAACCTTAAGGCAAATTGGATTACAGCATCAAGTTTTAGGGAAAGAACATTGACCTCAGTCAGGAAAGGCAAATTCTAGTCTAGCTACAGAGCCATGAACAGGTCAGTTCACTGGGCTTTGGTTTGCTTGGCGGTAAAATAAGGAGACAAACTAAACATTACTTACTCATTCTCTTTATTTCGCCAATTAGCGGTACAAGAGGTCCAAAATCCCCTCTCTGCTGGGGCAGTAGGGAGCTGGGGGAGGAGCAGGGACTTTACAGGAGGGCACCAGGCCAGGACATGACCAACAACTCTGCATCTCTCCCACTATTCATAAGGGATTCACTGTCGGTGACAAATTTCTACCTTTTTGAAAAAATTTATTTAACTATAGTTGATTTACAGTATTGTGTTAGTTTTAGGTATACGGCTTCAGAGTCTTTTCCATTATAGATTATTATCAAATTGAACACAGTTCCATGTGCTACACAGTAAACCCTCGTTGTTTATCTATTTTATATACAGTGGTGTGTATGTATTAATCCCGTGGTCCTAATTTATCCCTTCCTCTCTCTTTTCCTTTTGGTAAATGTAAGTTTGTTTTCTACGTCTGTGAGTCTATTTCTGTTTTGTAAATAAGTTGATTTGTATTTTTTAGATTCCACATATAAGTGATAGCATAAAATATTTGTCTTTCTCTGCCTGACTTACTTCATGTAGTATGATAATCTCTAGGTCCATCCATGTTGCTGCAAATGGCAATCTTTCATTCTTCTTTACGGCTGAGTAATGTTCCATTATGTATATATACATTTTCTTTATTCATTCATCTGCTGATGGACATTTAGATTGCGTCCATGTCTTAGCTATTTCTACATCTATTTTTAACCTGCAGTATCTCCAGGACAAAAAGTTCCATGCATATAATATTTCTTTTCCTTTATACAACTTCTTTTCCACCTGAGGACAAGGATGGGGGCCAGGGAGTTCTATTCTAATACTCTATTAGATTCAGTAAACAATTAAAACTACTTTCATTCAAAAGTTAAGTGTCATCACTTCAATTTAAAACCAGTTGCTTCCACTGGAGTCCCAGGCACTCATGGTTTCAATATCAGCCTGAATCTTCCCACCACTGAAAAGTCTCCATCACTCGAGCCTATTCCAAGATCATTACCCACTGGATCCATCAACATAGCTTCCTTGTCCGAAAAGCAAAAAGCAGGACCCTCTACCACGAGTCCAACCAGAGTAAGCTGCACCCAATCACCAGGTAAACTCATGTTCAGATGCCCAAGACTGCCCCTTGGGAAACAAGGATGCTCAAATGGGACAACCTGAGAGGGGAGTGTTGTCTGCATGGAGCCAGAACAGTCTCATGTCTGGCCCTGGCAAACACAACAGACATCTATCATTTTCTGTCTGCCCTGCATCCCCTCCTGCCTCTATCCAACTCCAAGGAGCCCCAGTTCCTGTGCTTCAGGTGATCTGCACTGCAATCAGAGAATCCCACTTCCTGAAACCAATGAACTGTCTGCGTAGACAGGGGCCACCTACCAAACAGGGCCAGAGTCCATTTCCAGGGCCTAGTGTGGACACCTGGAGATCACCTGGTATAAGGAACATGTAAATCTACAACCGCCAGTCTGTCTTTTCCACCACTTGGAGACATCAGGCCAACACAAGGAAGCAGGCATAGAGAGGGCCAGAGAGTGACAGGTCCCCCCACTACTTGGGCCCTCTGATCCTCAAGGCTGAATTGGGTTTCTGTTGACAGCAGCCTAGAGCTTGGAGGGCAAGCCTCATAGGCTAAGCATACACATCCAAGGTTCAAGCTCCTTCTGTGGTGCCCCACGACAGTGAGTCTCAGGCTCAGCGGCCAGGGTTCCACTTCAAACCAAAGAGTGCTAAACACTCCCACAGACACACTCAAAGAAAACAATTCCACATCCTGGAAACACTGTCAGGCTCATCTGCCACCTAAGACATGAGAGTGAACAGAGCCACAGAAAAGAGGAAAAGGACGCTGGGTAACTGGAGGGAGCAGAGCAGTTCACAGCCAGTAACTGTAAGAACAATTACCTCCAGCGAGGTAGCACAGCTAATGGGAAAAGCTTCCAAAATCAGTCCAAATACATATTCTCGTTTTCTATCAACAGGGGGAAAAAATGCACAGCAACCTGCAGCACCCAAACAAGAGGAACCTGTTAGTAAACAAGCTGTTTACCGGTTTATGAGCCTAACTGTTCCTGTTAGTTTTACACTGCAGCTTAGTCTCCCCTTCACAGCTGTCCGAGGGTCTACACCACGGGCCTGCCGGCTGCAGGAATCCAGGGCCGGCGGGTTCAGGGACAGTGTTCAGAACAGTCTCCCTCAGAGCAGGGGTAGGTTACTAGAGAGGAGAGACTAATCTAGCCAACAGTTCTCTCGTGATGTTCTTCCAGCAGCAAGAGAAAAAACAGTCCAAGCAACATAAACACCGCGAGCGGCTGCACATCCACGCCAGCAGCCCCTAACCTTCGGGGCATCGGGGACGCCTCTGAGAATGCGCTGAACGCTGGGAAGTCTTCCCCAGAAAAGCACACCCATACCACGACACTCTGCATGTGATTCCAAGGCGTTCATAAGAGCTGCTCCCTACACGCTCAGGGTCCAGGTTAAACGCACCTGACTTTGAAGTTTTTTAAAAATTTAATTACCTGAGCATCATGATGAATCCTCAAAGACTTCAAAGGACTACATCACATCTCAGAGGGAAACTCTAAAACTTCCAACTCTAACCCCACACCAAATCAGGAACAGAAAAAGAAAGGCAAACTGACCCTCACTTTCTGCATTTATGAAAATAAGTAAGAAACCCTGTTTTTTCCCTTATTAGCTCCACCCCTGCCATGTCGCCCTTACCTTGTTTGACCATTTATACGCTTGAAGGAGCTGACTGTAGAGAGGAGTTTTGTCCTGCACAGGATCCAGACTCAGCAGCCCGCTGTTATGAAGAGGATGGTTCTCAGAAGGCTTGCCTACCAGGTTGCTCAGACGCTCCAGCTCACTGAAAAGTAAACAGATAAGGCAAATAAACCCACTGAGTCCACTGAAACTCCAGTGCTGAGCCAACCACACTGGACAAAGGCTCTTCTTCAAACTCTCCATCATTAGCCTCTGTTTGAAAGGTTAAGCAGACTAGGGACCCTCGCAAAAACCTCTCACTGGGAGTTCATCTTATTTTCCAACTGAGTGCTCCAGTGCCATTCCAAAGGAGAAAAAGAGGTAAGAGCAATGAAATCAAAAAGACTCCCAAAATCAGGATTTATCAACTCAAACTATTATTCTCTGCAGGGGGGAGGAGACTTTCTGGAATTTCGAAATACGGCATAACTCTGCTCCTCGCTCACAGTTTCAGACCCATGTACAGATCACTACATTTGGCAGAACAGCAAGTACCTGAATAAATGATGATTATTTATCATTCACATAGAGAGAGATTTGTATGTGGTGCTTCACAGATGGTAAACTTAACAAAACAACGAAGAGATAAAATAAACAAACGGAAGGGGAAGACACCACCAAGGGGGCTGTGTCTCTCACACTCACACACACACACACACACTTCAGTCTAGCAGGAACACTCCAGACGAGCTCGGGAAAGGGAGCCAACAGCTAAAGCACATTCCAGGAGCACGTTCTGAGGGGCCAGTCCCAAAGTGTCAACAAGACTCTCCAGGAATAGTTTCTCAGGACACATTCACTTCGGAATCTCCAGCCCCCTTCTTCTTGGCATTGCGGTATAAAGATTTTAAAAGGCAACAGGGTAATGTAAACATTCTTAAACTTTCCAAAATGGTGAAGGGTCACAAGACCCTGAACATTATCAAGGGAAGCCAATCAAAGAGGAGACAGGAGAAGAGGAAAGAACAACCGGTGCATCCCCTCCGGCAGGAGAGTATTAACTGGCACCGCGCCAGAGAACAGCAAGTGAGTGTGGGAGTTGACGAGGGGTGTGTGATTTCCTGGCTTTCCCCCAGCATGAGATCGGCAACTACTTAGAGAAAAAAATAAAATAAAAAGAGGCTCCCATCATTTGGTCACCACCTCCTCTTACATTCTACCTCCTCCTTCCATCTGGTTACTAAGGAAAACAAGTTGGGGAGGGGGGGGAAACCCCATCCACTCCAGAATTCAGAAGCTGACGAGCTCACCAAACACGTTCCCCTGGCGAAGTCAGTTCTGAGGTAAAAAGCAAAAACCCTGAAATTCTACCCTCCCTGGGAAGGACTGAGTCTCACAAGGAAAGGAAGGTAAGTTCAGGATGTAATCAATGAGAGTGCCTACTATGTGTCAGGCATTTTACAAACATCCTCTCACTTACTTCTTACACGACACTTACAAAGTAGAAATAAAGGAGATGACTTGTAAGAAGCAGGAGGAAATGTACAATCCTTAACCCTAAAGGGCCACAAATTAATACTTATTGGGAGGCAGAGGGGAGGTTTAAGCATAAGTGATTAATTAAGCTGGTTAAGCCTGAGATTAGGTGTCTCTAGAGGAAGGAACTGAACAGGAGCAGCGAGAGTGGGAATGAAAGTACTGACCAGGTGGTTTCAGAGGGAGGAGGGGAATAGAGAAAGATAGATCAAGGTCTGCTTTGTCGTGTTTGGGGAGAGGGGGCGAGTAGGGTTCAGAGCGGGAAAACTGGGACCAATCAGATCGAATGCACTTGGGCTTGGGGCAGCCACGAGCAGGTCCTGTTTGTTACTGTTTGATTAGACAAGATGGGGCACAGAGGGCCTACAGCTGAGAACCCAGCCACGCTAAGATGAGGAGTGGAAGTTCATGAGCAGAGCACTTCCCCTCGTGAGGAATGGAAGGACCACAGAGGAGGTCCAGGGCGGCAGGAGACAGCCAGGACCAGAAGGCCGAGAGACGCGAGACGACAAAGCGGGGGTGGAGGATGAGGTGGCCTTGAGGGGTAGGCAGAGGCTTGGAGGGGAGGGAAAGAGAGCAAGGGAGCAAGGAAAAGGGAGAGCGGCCCCTGACTCAGGAGACTCGCGCGCTGTCGGGACAGGGTGGGAGGGCCCCGACTCTGGCCCCTTCAGCCGGTACCTACTTGAGGTCCCGGTTGACCGAATGCAAGTTGTCCTGGAAGTGCGCAATGAAGGCCTTCTCCCGGCCCTCCAGCGTCTCCTTGTTCCGCATGCCATCCTTCAGGCAGTCGAACACCCTGCTCACGCTGGAGCGCAGCGCCTGGATGGCACTTATGGCCTGGGCGAAGGCCTCCAGGTTCACTCCGACACTTAGCACGTCCGCCATGTTGCCGCCACCACAGCCGGCCCTCCGAAACCGGCTTGGCGAGCGAAACGCCGCGCTCACTGATGACGCAAGCCCTCGAAGGACTCTGGGAAATGTAGTTCTCCCTGGGCGGGGCTGCCCAGGTGATTCGTGAGGGCACCATCCCAAAGAGGGTGTCCACTTTGAACGAATGCGTGGGCAGGAAAGTGATCATCGGGATTTGGGGAAGTCGGGCTGCACTCTCGGCTTTCCTGGTGGTGACAAGGAAATACAGCAAGTTCTCTAAACTTCCCCAAACTTGCACTGTTGGGAGTCATATGGAAAAGAATTGCTCAGAGCTATAAAGCGTCCATGGTGTAAAGGACTGAATAGAATGAGTCCATATTCGTAAATAAACGGGGGAGGAGGGCAGTTTCTTCCCTAGAATGCCAACTAATACATGTAGAAGGAATGATGGAAAGAAAATTACCATTTGGCAACGGTTAGAATAATTGATTCAGATAGGAATCAAGGGATGCTACTGGGTGAAAGTGTGAGGAGTGACAGGACATTGATAATAGTCTTAATGTGTCATCCCACAAGAAGCTTGTTAATCAAGAAGGGGAAAATAATGATCCAGCAATTTCAGTTCTGGTTGTATATGCAAAAGAAGGAAACATTAGGGACTGGAACAGATATTTGTACACTGAAGTTCATAGCAGCATTATCCACAAGAGCAAAATGTGGGAGCAACCCAAGTGTTCATCGTGGGGTGAATTCATAAACAATCTGTGGCATATTCATACAAGGGAATGTTTATTCAGCCTTAGAAAGGAAGGAAGTTCAGACACACGTGACAACATAGGTGAACCTTAAAGATGTTATATTAAGCGAAATAAGCCAGACACAAAAGAACAAATATCATGTGATTCTACTTAAATGAGGTACCTAGAAGAGTCTAGTTCATAGAAACAGAGTAGAATGGTGGTTGACAGGAGCTGTGGGAGGGGGAATGGGGAGTTGGTGTTTAACGGACAGAGAGTTTCAGATGGGGAAGATGAAAAAGTTCTGTGGATGGTGGTGATGGTTGTGCAGCAATGTGAATGCACTTAATGATACAGAATTGGACACTTCAAATGGTTAAAATGTTAATTTTATGTTGTGTATATTTTCCCATTAAAATTTTAATTCAGTGATGTAAAGGGAGGGGAGGTAATGGTGACTTCACAGTGGAGAAATCTGGCGGACACCACCCGAACAAGAGACCAGGTCAACATCACCAGTGTAGGACAAAGCCTCCCCTGGTAGGATGCACTAAGAAGAGCACAACATGACTTCTGTGATATTCCTGCTCAAACTGCAGAACCCAAATCTGATCAGGACATCCAACAAGCTTAAAGACACTGGGCAAAATAACTGACCTATACTTTTCCACAAGGTGTGTGTCATAAAAGACAAAGGAGGCTTTAGGAACATTCCAGATTAAAGGAAACTAAAGAGATGTGACGATTGAATGCATTGGTTGATCTGGGATTTTCTTTTGCTGACACAGTTGAAGACAATTGGTGAAATCTGAATGACGTCTGTAAATTAGTTCATAGTATTTTTTGGTGATAGTGTCAAGACTTTGATCACTGCAGTGTGGTTATGGAAGAGGATGTCCTTGTTTGGGGGAAATATACCCTGAAGGGGTAAAGGAGCATCCTTATGTTTGCATGAAAAAGAAAATTCTATGGGTATGTCTATTTAGAGAGAGAGTAAAGCAAGCGTGGCAAAATATTAACAGCTGGGGAAGCTGGATGAGGGATACACAGAAATTATGTGTACGCTTCTTGCCATTATGTCTGAAATTGTGTCGAAATACGTTGGTTTTTTTTTAGCATTTTTATTGTTTTATTTTTTATTGAAGTGTAGTTGATTTACAATGTTAGTTCCAGGTGTACAGCAAAGCGAATCAGTTACACATACAAAATATGTTGTTTTTAAATGGCCACCAATGAGGGACATGGAAAGTGTAAACACGGAAGAAAAGTCTTCCGTTCGGCCAAGCTCTGCTGACCAGGATTTTGAAATTCTGTAGTTCACCGCAAACCCCCATCCTTAATAATTCCCTTACACCTCTCCAACCTCGCTTCCCTCATACCACCTGGATTCAGATTCTCTAGTTTTGGAACAATCAAGATAAATTCTGCTCAAAAACTGAGCCCTGATGTTGCTCTCCATGAGTGTTTAAATTTAAGTCCTATTTAAATTAATGAATAGGCCCATAAGAAAGAAAGGTGTTTTATTGTCTTGGGTTTATTTTGTTGCCTTCATTGCCTGACATCTACCTCACCTGTTGCCATTTATAGCTTTTCC